GAGCCAACGTACTGCTAATGGTAAGCATACCACACTTTGAAAGTAAGGCCTTCGAAATGTTGTCTAAATGTTGCATGTTCATTTCCAAGACTTTCGGTAGAACCTCCCGAGATGGTGTCTCAACTTGAGCTGTGAGAAAGCTCCTGCTGCATTGTTGTGCTCACTAGTTGGAAACAAGTCGAGTAATTACAGACCGCCGTGACCTTCAGTGGGACTGTGCCCAAGGCCGCATGCTCCTTTGTGTGTGTGTGTGTGTGTGTGTGTGTGTGTGTGTGTGTGTGTGTGTGTCCCTCAATAAAAGCAATCAAGCAGCGCTAAACCGATTCCCAAGCCAGCAAGTGTATGTGTGTGCGCGCACACAGGTGCCCTTTCATGATCTTCGGGTAGGCAAAAAAAAAATAATAATAATCGACTCTTCACTTTCAAAAGGTCAAGGCAAAGAGGAGACAAATGGCTCCATTTGTTGCCGTCGTGATGACTCCACAATTAGGGAAATAAATGCGGCAAAGGATAATGTGTTTATTTGCGCAAGACTTCAGGTCGACATATGAGCCGGATTAAATGTATTTTGTATGTGAAACACATCTTCAGCAGAATGAAATGAGATACATTCATTACTTTGACTCCCATTACATCTCATGTATCATCCTTTGTGTCACAGATGTTTCAGATTTTGTCAACAACACACTAATCATGCTGTAATCGTACGGAATTGAACATTGATTAATCAGGTCATGAAGTAATTGGGTGTGTTTGAATGTGACTGATTTATTCTAAGAACAGACACATCCCCATTTAAAAGAGGGTGTGCACACTTGTGCAAACACATTACCTTAATTGTTTATTTTTGTTGCCCCTCTTGAAAAGACGTCAATTTTATTTTCATATGTTTTGTACAGGTTACACGTCACATTCATGACCTAAAATGTTTCCACAATATTTGTGTGTGTGTGTGTGTGTGTTAAGATAAGATAAGAAGATAAGAAAACCTTTATTATATTGTAAAACCTGGCATTTGTGCCAGGGTGTGTAAACTTTTTATAGCCATTTTATATATATTTTTTCCCTTTCATTTTAAAACATTTATGGTGAGGGGGGTTGGGGTCATGCCATTTTTATAATATTAATGTACCCCAAAACATATCAGCTTTCTACTAATTACAGGACTCTAATTGCAATCACACATGAAATCCTACAAAATATTTGATAAAAAGAAAACAAAGAAACGCAGCCATTTGTTCCGATTATCACAATCTTTATCAGGAGTAGCTTTTTACAGCACAGCCGCACGTCAGCGGAGATGTTTCCGGAGAAGATAAAACGCTGTTTGATGGACTGACGAACAGCAGGCATGTCTGTCAAGATAAGACATCCAATATACACGAGAAGAGCCGATTGTCATCAGCATCTGTTGTCTCAAGGCATCCTCGTGCTGGTCAGCGCATCGTTTATGTCCTTTGCAATGCATCCAAATCATGAAATCAGTTTTTGTACAGTTTGTGATGGTGACTTTGCGATTCTAAGATGAATGATGACAACCTCTATTGTCAAAATGTCAAATGTGTCAAGATCCGGCATCCCGAATCCCTATGATAGAACATCGTGAACGTTTCACGTTGAACTTCGCCGACACGCATTTCCCAGCGTTCCTTTTGCGACGCTTTGATGAGATCTCGCTGGGAAGCTGACTAACTTGGATCACAAAACCCTCGAGAGAGAAAGAGGAAGTGCTCGCGCGGGTGGGGAAACAATCAGGTTGACGTAACCCGGAAGGAGGGAAGCGCGCGCGTTTGTGTGCGTGTGTTTCAGGGACACGTGATGTCATTTCCTCTTGCGTGAATTAAATGGTCAGAAGAGGAGATAACCTTAAGTCAGAAAGATAAACATATGGTATGTTAAGAAAAATCTTGTCTTTGCTTATCAGGTTTGGGATAGTTGACAGGTAGCAAACATCCACTCATTGATGCCATACCAGCTTACCCAAAAAAATAAAAATAATAATAATTCACAAATAAAGCTATCGTGCTTTTATGAATTATACAGAAATGTTCAAAGTAATATTTTACCCTTCTTAACAGCTATAGGTATACAGTATGACCAAACTAAAATAAATGAAACCTACTCACTCGCTAGCGAAATTGTTTGTAGAACGATATTGCAACATAGCCGTATTTACAGGTACGGCTGAGTGGGAATAGGGTATGAATGTCTGTCAAAAAAGCCAAAGAAAAAGCTAAGCATGCCGAGTTCACCTTTTAAATCTGTGACACCAAACTCATTTTTGTCACAGGCTTAATAAAAACCTGTTCAAATATTAATCACATTTATTTTTAAAGGGACATTGGTCACAAAAATGATTGCAATCGCTCAACATTTTTAATATTGAAGATAAATTGCAATTGTGGTATTTTACCAAGAAACATGAAGCTGATGCAAAATGTTTATTTTTCGCAGGCCACCTAAAACGATGTGGCGGGACGATCAAAAATTCCCCCCCAAAACTTTGACCAAGAAGTAGCAAAGTTGCACGATTGAGTCATTTTGGGTGCGAGATATTTTCCTCCTAGAGGGGATTAAAAGTTGTTTTTCAGAGTAAGACGACGGTGTTCTTTAAATTTCTGGGCCGAGCTAAGTGAATCCAGATAAATAAAGGCTTCGCCGAAGAAAAGGGTATCACTAACAGCACAGGCTGATGTTTGCGGTTTCAAGCATCTGACATTGGAAAGCGGTATCTCGGCATCCTTTAACAAGCTCAAACCACTAAAACCAACCAGAGGAGCTTTGAGAAATGAAAGCAAGACGTGCTTCAAACAGATATGCGTCTTTATGAGGAGGGTATTCTATTCAAATAAGCAACATATGTCAAGTTGTCGTGTCGATAGCAACAGTTACTAATGACAATTCTGAAGCTTGGATGTGATGTTGGAAGGCAATGAGCCCGGTGCATTCTGGTAATTGTGGGGCCCTTTTTCACATTCCCTGTTACTCAATCCATAATGGGAATAAACAGGCAAACGACCGTCGTCATCATCTTCACCGTAAGGCAACAGCTAATTATAAAATACTTGGCAGCGCAGCTAATAGTAGCATGACAACACCGGCATTTATCAAGGCCTTACGACAGCATTTAAAGTGTAACTAATACTAATGGCCAAGGTTAAGATTTCATAAGATCTCAGAAGAGTTCATGGATTACCATAAATGCCAGACGGGCCTGCGAGGAAAAAGACACGCTTGTTTGTGTTGCTGAGGGCTATGCAGCCATCACATTTAACACAGGCTGTTGCCGGCTTTTTTTGGTCGGTAATATGATGCTGTGGTGAGGGAGTGAGTGGAAAAGAAGTAAGAAGAAGTGAAAATGCAAGTGAAAAAAACCACAGATAATCCAAATGGAAAATGGGAGAATAGTTTTTATCGAGTGGGATGAAAACTTTTGTTAAAGGCCAGGAAGAAAAACTTTTCTACTCCATCCATCAATCCATTTTCCGATCTGCTTTATCCTCACAAGGGTTGCGGGGGGTGCTGGAGCCTATCCCAGCTGTGTTCGGGCACTAGGCGGGGGACACCCTGAACCGGTTGCCAGCCAATCGCAGGGCACACACAAACGAACAACCATCCGTGCTCACACTCACACTTGGGGACAATTTAGAGTGTCCAGTCAGCCTGCCATGCATGTATTTGGAATGTGGGAGGAAACCGGAGTACCCGGAGAAAACCCACACAGGCACGGGGAGAACATGCAAACTCCACACAGGAAGGCCAGAGCCGGGATTGAACCCACGACATCTGCACTGTGAGGTTGACGCGCTAACCAGTGTACCACTGGGCCTCCTACTTTTCTACTCATCAGACAAAAAAAAAAAAAGCGTATTTCAGCTTTCTACTGTTTGGTTGATTTGTTGAACTTGCTGAAATCACAGGGGGCAAGATGTCCTGTTGTAATTGTTTTTGGGTTGCGACAGTAAAACCAACAATTACAAAAGTGACATTATGAAACTTTCTGAGGTATTGGCAGAGCTCGAGAACATTACATTTGGCGAATATCCAATGAAAAGCGGTGATGGAGTCACTTAATTTTCACTTTCTGCTGTTATAGTCACCTTGCAAAACCGGATCAAGGAGGTGGAGCCAGCCGCACTTCACGGCTTAGGGGGGAACAATAAGGCCTATAGACTATGAAAAGTCTGGAAGAAAAGTCCTTTGTATATAACTGCGTTCAATATTTCTAGCAGCACAAACAAATTTTGCTGTCTTAAAACTTAGAGGACTTTTCAATTGTGTGGTAATGGTGTAAAGTCCAACAGTGATAGGGTGAAGGTTGACAAACTGCACCGCAGTCCCTTGATTGGCCAAATTGTGTCGTCGTTAGAATTTATTGTTGGGCTACACTTTGTTGCACCACTATAGCATCGCATGATTTACAAATCACGTGGGCAGCCAAAGGGGTGGAAACACGGCCAATAGGGACGGGGAAAAGTAACGGAAAGTGCCTTTCACCGACAGTCAGCCGGGATAAGCTCCAGCTTCGTCAACGTGACCCTGAAGAGCCTCTCGCAAGTCTCAGTCATATCAGGAAAATTTTGAGAGTAACCAGAGCCCGTCATGCTAAAAGTAAGAAAAGCAGAGCTATGCGTCCAAGAACAGCACTACGTTTGCCTACATTTTGAATTCATCAAGAAGGCATTTTTGACAAGACCCATGCAATTGTGCTACTATAAAGTACATTGCCAGAATTCAAACCTGTCATATCGTATCGCATGGGATCAAGAGTTGCTTCATACAGACACAACTCACAAAAAAGTTGGGGATATTTGGTTTTCAAGAACCGAATATTCGCAACGTTTGGTGAGTAGCGTATCTTAAACATATCGTTTTTTTTGTCTATCAACTGATGAAGACACACATCCCAAAAGACAAAAGAATGCAGCGTGGTCGTTATGGGAAGCGAACAATGCACTTTGGTGTAAAATATCATTGTGAAATAAAATATCAGGACTTACGGTCAGGATTGGGGGATTTGCGTCCAGCGTGGTTTGGTGAGGAGCATCGGAAGGTGGTGACGATGGTGTTGTGGTGAGGATTGGGATGGTGCGGGTGGTGTACTGCCGGGTGGTGGCCGTTGTTCTCCACCGGAGCTCTGGTGATGCTGATTTCGGGTTTGCGAATGTCCCCGGGACTGGGGGGCTCCAATTTGCGGGTGTGACTTGCTTCAGGGGTGCGACTAGTCCCGTTGGTGTGACTGCTGCCTTCGTTACGGCGTGTCCCGGGGGAGTCCGTCTTGGCAAAAGTGACCTCCCTCTTGTGGCTCATTTCTGGCGTCCTGGAGTGGCCAAGGACCTCGGGGCGCTTCAGGGCGCTGTTGGTTGCAAAGCGTATGGATGCGGGGCTTGTGGCGTCCACCTGCTTGCTGGGCGTGGAGCAGATATCGATGGACAGCTCTGAGCGGCGTGACACAGGCTCGGGGGTCTTGGAGCCTCCTCCGCCCATGATGGAGCGAGGTTGGGTGTAGTTGAGGTTGTTGTTGTTAGTAACCGAGGCGGCTGTGCCCAGGTCGCGGTAGTAGATGCTGGTGGGAGACATGGCGTTGCGGTGGGGGGAATTGGTTGTGCGTCTGGAGCCGGGAGAAGAGTGAGCTGAAGTGTCAACGTCCTCCACCTCGAAGGACCTCTTTAGAGCTGCAAATACAGGACAAGGATGACACATTACTCACATACTGTGATGCCTTGAAATTAGAACACCCTGAGTGTTCTACAATTTGGAGTATGTGCAACATTCATTTCAACAAATCGAGCAAATCTGAATTTAAACAAAGTGGAACAGAGTCAATGGGCTTTGGTTGACCTTCCAGGTACCACTTTAGGCACAAGTTTATACAGTCTGTATTAATGGGCACAAGCACAGGAGGTCATAAAACTAACTCATTAAAAAGTTCAGATCAAGTCTAAAAACGCCCTGCAGTTCAATGGTGGGATGTCTCCCATCACCCCCAGCACTTTGTTTCAGGAAATGTATGAGTTGTTTTGTCGTGACCTCAATGCTACATCTACTGTAACACATTAAAATATGGAGTTTTATGTAAGAGCATTTGAGGCATTTTGTGTTTGCATACAACGGGCCAAGAGTTGCTCACTTGCCCAGAATTTATGAGCGCGCATCCTTCCTCGAGGTTAGTCGTGACAGGAGCAAATACATGCGCTGTACAAGATGATGATAGCGAGGGATGGGACTCCCCCTTGGGTTGAGTGCGCGAGCTGAGAATGAATGGCGTGCCATGCCAGTGCCCAGGAGCTGCCAACATAATGACGCACAAGCTAAGTCGTCTCCCTTAAAAGCAGCTTCCATCCAAAATTTTGATTATTTTATCAGTTTGCGGCCTCTGGTGATTCTGTGCATGAGTGCGCGCCTTCCTCTGAAACGACACAAATTCATGTAATGTGAGTTTCTAAAATACGAAAATGCATTTGTGTTCATTTTTAAGCCAGTACACTCAAAAGGGAATGGAACTTGCACCTTCTCATATACCGTTTGCACAATGGGAACCACTAATCTAATTGACTGCTTTAAGATGCTTCATTCCAACTCGGTGGACATTTGATACAATTCACCCTTTGACAAAAACAAGGACACTTCCGCCAAATAAATAACAGATGTATTGTATAGAGTAATGTATTTGTGATATGACAGCTAAAATAAGAAAATAAACACGATGATCAATTAGAAACATTTGTAATCGTGTTGCACAGAACATCGCAAAAAAAAAAAAAAAGTGCTTTGAAGCATCAACCCTTCAACCCTCGCACTAAAATGCTCACACAGTCGTCACATCTGAGTTTTTAAAAATATCTTCAACATCAACATTTTCCAAGAGGAACACAACATGCGTTAGCATAAATGCTTATGCTAAATTTCTAGTAACGTATATCTGAATGCAAACAAATGGATTCCACTCGTATACAGCTAACCTGAAATGGCATTTGGGTGTGACATTGTCTTACTAAATATCACCATCTAATCAACTGTAACGCCAACTGCTAACACAATACAACATGCTAACACATTTTGTTACTTAAATTTGAATGAAAACCAATTGGATGTACCGTCACACCACAAACAGTAAATGACATTTGGTGTTATAACATTGTGTCTTGAAGTAATTGTCAAAGTTTTATACGTCACGTACGTGAGAATGCTAAACAGTTAGCAATGTTGGTACCAATGCTAACGCTGAACAAGGGAACTAAATGTCTGGTCTTTATTACAATAAAAATATGCATTATTATAGCCTTAAGATAAGTAGAGCTTTCACAAAACATTGTAGTGTTAGCGAAAAGCTAAAACCACTCCCTCTCTTTCTCCCATTTGCTTCATGAACTAGAGTCCTCAAAGTAATTCAGAGGAACACAGTTTGTCATTCACTCCAACATCATAAAACAGCTTTTAACGCCTTTAAGTGAATATTTATTCGAAAGAACTGTGCTAATTCACTTGCCCATGTCCTCCTCACCCCGGCTTTCCTATTATTTTCCAAATGTTGAAAAGAATGCCATCCAAGGTTGTGGCTCTTTTGAATCCAGCCAAAGTATGTTAGTCTGCCAATATTAATCTGCAGATTACACAAGCAGAAGGAAGGTTTAACACAGTTTCACAGCAAGAATTTAAGATCACTTAAAAGCCTTTCGACACTTGTGTTAGTGTTTTTTTTTTTTTGTTTTACTTCATCTATTGGAGTTGCACTGATAGAAGGGCTACGGTTTGTATGTATTTTCACATGGTTTGTCATGGAAAAGCAGCTGAACCTGTTCCAATGACTATTTGTGTTCTTGGTTACTTTGTGATTATACGGCCTCAGGCACGAGAATAAAGCATATGACTTGAGTGCTTGAGTTTGTATTTACAGAGTGTGCAGTGAAGTGCACATGATTCAAAAGAAGAAGTGGACTGGAAGCCGTGCAGGCTTTCATGTTTGAGAATATAGAGGAATGGAAAAAAAATACACAGGGAATGTCCAAGGCGATCATTCAATTCTGGCAGTATGTTTTCCCCAAGGGGTTTTTCAATGCGGTCAACTAGATAAACATGGAAATAGGTTTCCAATCATGCGAGCATGAATATTACAAGTACACAAGTGTGGGAATGACAGATCAGATGAAGGAGTATTGTTCCCACTGAAATGGCATTCCAAGACTATGAGCTGGAATGGAGTGGTCCGGTCCACGGAGCAAGCTCATTCACAACACTGTGTTGGACTACCTATCACGAATTGACAGTGTCTCAAATCGGGGAAGAAGGCAGCACAGACAATAACGCTAAGGTTTAGCGGTACTGCAAAAACAAAGATGGAGGCAGCTGTACTTTCACTTTACTTCACAATTATTTGTCATAATAAACCCCAGGTGTTAGGATAGACCACCTCTTATCATCGGTGTCATTGTGTCCTCTCTGGTACGTCCCGACTGGTGAACACAAGCATGCGGTATCATCTCAGCCACGGTCCATTCCATTCTGTTATGGGGAGCCAGAGCCTATCCCAGCTGACATTTGCCAAAAGGTAGTTTTTTGGCGTGGCCGATCATCGGCCACTAGTTTTTTGTTTTGTTTTCTATTCGCAATACGATGTTCTCTTTGCCCCAACTAGCCTAAACAAGGGGGCAGTCATTTGCTCAAGTGCCCTCGGGCTTGCATTATAAATGTCACGGCTCATCAGTTTTCTTGGGTTTATCACATGGGTACACAAGCTTCCTCCCACATAGCGAAGACTCAAAAGTGTCAATAGGTAAGACTATGGGTGTGAATGCTTGTTGTCTTTATTTGCCCTGTGACTGATTGGTGACCTGTCCAGGGTGTGCCCTGTCTCTTAATCAATGTCAACTGAGATAGGTTCCAAGTCATCCAAGACTTGATTAGCACTATCGAAAAAGGCTGGATGGATGCGTTCGTTCTATTGTGACAGACAACCAAAATGAAACGTTAAAAAAAAATTCCAGGAAGTATGACTGCGTCAATTTCGTCCGAGAGGAATGCTTTTTTTGTAGTCATGGAAAGCCCTCAAAAAGGCAGAATATTATTTGGCCAAAAAATCCCAACGTAGAAAGAATGTAGAAGTTGAAAATTGGGGTGAATAATGATTGATGATTTTGATCAACCTTGGCGTCAACATCCCCCCATGAAATTCTAGACAAGTGGGGAATACAATCACACCCTTCCTGCTGCCTTAGAGGGAGTTTATGTACAAAAGAATGGGCAGATGAATGGTCCATGTGGTGTAAACCAGCAAAAACAAACTGTAGTTGGCAATCCAAGGGCAGGCTATCGAAAGTATTTCGCGTTGTCAGACGACTCCTGAACGCTACACCATCAAACCACACACTCCCGTGCGAACCACTCATTGATGCAGACAAGCCACACGAAAAGATTTGCCGGATTCCGTCGAACCTCAGAAAGGAATTCTGCGCATGTTCCCGGCGAAGATGGATGACATGTGAGGTGAGTTGCGTGCGGATCGTGGGTCAAGTCCCTACAATGTTTGCGGTTATGTTGTAGTAGCAGATGTTGAACCGGAAAGTTTGAATCACTGAGGGGCAATATCATCACTGCCGGAATTTTTACACGCAGTAACAAGGTAATCCAGCCAGCTGTTAAGTGGTGCTTGGCTACAGGCAACAACCTTTGACAGGTAAAGCCTGGTTCTGGTCTACTTAATGGGCAACCTCACAGACACTTTGATTTACATCAGTTGACAGCCGAGCATGAGGACAGTCATTGAAGTCCACTTAACACCTTTTCTACCTCAAGGTTTCAATATTAACACCAGGCTCTTCTATACATGTGAATTTGGTTCAGTTCCCACTCAGTGACAGTGGGAATCTGAGTTTGAAAGGCTGTCTGTTTCTATATGTGTGCCCTGTGAGTGACTGGCGTCCGTCTTTCCGCAACCGTGAACAGGATGAGCATTGAGCTGTATAGAAGATGGATGAATGGATGGATATACTGCACTCCCTCCGGAGATGTTTGTTTACTCAACTGCAGATCGATTGCGAAATAACTGATCCCCAAATAATGATACGTGGTCAAAATATGAATTGCTGCATTGCAAATTGTAAAAAATAAAACAAGGCAGCACAGGGTGGACAATTTTCAGAGTAGGAACCTCATTTGAAGTAAGATTAGCATCAAAATGGATAAGCACAACATTGTCGGAGCAGATTGCTACACAACTGGGACATCACATAATGTAACCTCATCTTCAGTACGGCTCAGAGAGCGTGTTTCGAACATTAGAGTGACAGCCGGTTAGTCTCTACACATTGACTGATTAGGGAGATGGGCTTTGGTTGGGGCTGCAGTTTTGGTTAGCTATCACAGTGAGAAATGAACCGAAACAGTTAGGCCCTTTATAAAGTTTGTCCAATCACCTTGCATGTTTATATTTGGCAGTTGTATTATTTTTACAAATTGATTTTGCAAAACAGTCAATCCAAATGTCCAAGACCAAATGTGTTTTTTTTTTTTTTTTTTAATTAACCCTTGTGTTCCAATAATGTTTTTATTTATTTATATATTTATTTTAAGCACGGCACCTTTCCACTGAAAAACAGTCAAAATAACAAAGCTATGCAGGTCTAAAAGTGAGCCCTTCCATTGATGATAACATGAATGACTGACTGTGAGGCTTGAGACCAGCTGGAGGAAGCAAGCATGGCCGGAGGAGGAAAAGGAAAACAGTAGAAGAGGGAGAAAGAAAAAAAAAAAACAATGCCAAGAGGAAACCATGTCGGTTCCACAAACAAAGGAGACACATGTTGTGACTATTTGTACACGTCTTTGTTTTTTCTTGTTCTTCATGCTTCAGAAGTTATATTTGGTAGCTCATTCTTCTCTTGGATGCTAAGTTGAGCCATTACTTTGTACATGTTGTATTATTTCCGCTTACTTACTTGCACTGACAGACTTATTGTGGGTGCTTGTTTTCTCAAAGGTTGACCTCCTCATTAGGAGCCAAACGTGACCACAATGGATGCAGTTGTAAACTGTCTCAGTGTTGACTGCAGCCAGATTTGTTAAAGGTAAGCGAACCACACCCTGAGGCACACCACATATGAGGGGATAAAAGCGTACTGTTATTATCTGGCTCAAGGTGAAAATACTGACATGAGAAAGTATTAAGTTCAACGTGTACCCAATTTTTCAAGACATTGGAGCATCAATAAAGAAATGACAAATCAAGAAAATGTTTAGTTCATATACAACCTATTAAATTTCGATACAGTCTAAAAGGATTCCTGTGGACAGGGGAACTTCTATGACCAATACATTCTCGGGCACTGGTTAATTTTCAAAGGACTTTTCCATAGGGAGGAATATGACTTTCAAAGTCAAACTTTCACGATCACACAACATTTAGTGACTTTCCAAACACATTTCCAAAGTGATATTTTAACTTTCTTACTGATTATACATGTGTCAAAATGAGTTGAAAGTACAGTGTGTTTTTGCGCAATACAGTGCCATCTGTATCGATGTCGTGTAGTTTTGGACCTATCCAACTCAAACTTCATTTTTCTAACTGTAAATTCAAAATCTGAACAAAATTAGGGGCATTTACAGATTGCTGGCATCAGGCCGAAACCTCCAGTCACAATTTGGCAAATTTCATATTTTTTCACAAAAGTGTTGGTTGGTGTTATATTATTACAAATTATTCAATAATCTTAAATTTAGAAAATGGCTTACCATCTATGACGATGCAAGGTTAATGGTTGAACAAACATGCTGTTTTTGGGGTCTGCCGAAAAGTGAATAGTGTGGAGGTACAAGGATTCCACCCAACGCAAACGGTATGATGCACATTCATCGGAACCGCAATACATTTCAGGGTATTCTCTTTAGTGTTATGACATCTGAAAGGCCGTTTGTACCTAGTCACATACACACACATTATTTTCATATCATGTCAATTACGAAAGAACACAAACCTTCAAAATCTGAAATGATTCCCTCCAAGTGTGGATTGACTCCAGAATCCGACATATTTCTAGTGGTGGTCGCGAGTGTCCGAATGGTAGCAGTTGGTGTCACACGCCCACAACTCTCTTTAACTTTGTGGGCCTGGCCACAAAGTTGTGCAATAAAACTACTTGCAAATTTGGGAGACTGAACGTGCATGCCTCCTCCTCCTTCCTTCTTCTCCCCTCCCTATAGAAGACATACTCCCCTCTACTCCCTTCATGTCCTGTGGGTGTGGGTGTTTTCCTTACCCCCCCCCCCCCCCCCCCCCCACCACCACACCCCCCAACACCCCGCCGCCCACACACACACACACACACACACACACACACACACACACACACACACACACGCATACCAACATGCGCGCGCAAGTACAGCAGGATCTACATTGCAGGTGACCAATTATGATTTTATATGTATATCTGATTTCTTTTTAATTGTTTAATTAGTGTATATGTCGATTTCAAGTGGTACATATCCGATATGGCTGTGTATGAGCACGGAACACGACAACCTGCATTGGTAGACGTCCAAAGTGTACGCAAACAACTACATGGGCATCCATTAGGCACCAATAACACAGAAGTGAAAGAATAATAAATAAATTCTGTGGTACCTTGGGATATATGATTAATTTGATGATCACGATGATAGTTAACTTAAAACATTCATATCGCAAATCATCTTTCACGATTGAATTGAGTGAATATGTCATTAATCCACTCCAATCCATTTGGTTGACTGCGCTGTGCGTCACTCGGCATTCCGGGGACCGAGGGTGATTTCTATTACACGCCTCGCGGCATATTTGCTAATTTGGTTACAAAAAGTAGACTACGGTACATTTTAGACTCGGTAAAAGCAGGTCGAAATGTACACAATTTTGATGTATTTGATCAAGGAGCGGGCAGACAGATTTGACGCTCTGCGGACGTGTGTGGTGGATGTCATCGGATTTCATTCATAGATATGGCAGCGTGGGACAATCCCACTGAATCAGCGCAAAAATCAATTCATTGAATGAATTAGAATCATCATTACTTTAAAAATATTTTAATAGCATTATTTTGGGAGGGGCACAGACACACTGTCATGGTGCAAAGTGGTCTCCAATTGCCCACTTCACATACATGGCCGACTATATCATCCACAAGGGGATATCTTGCAGTTTACTTGTACTGCACTTTCCGTACACCAGTGTCATGCATGAACTAGCAAGTCTATTTCTGCCTCCGCAATGTCAAGCATGGCGTACTGCACCCCAACCGCCATGATTTTGATACAAATGAGGTATGGCGTGACGATTGGCCGGGACTCGGCTACTTTCCATCCCACATCGGCCCACAAAGATGCACACACCCCAGTACACCCAAATCTATCTGAAAGCTAGAAAATTACCAAAAGAAAGAAAACTTCACTCATGCGTATAGTTAGACTGCGCTTTGCGCTGGACTTGCACTAAGCACCAAAAAAGGCCCCTGTAAATCACGGGACTGACTCACTACACCATTAAGGACATTGAATCGTGTACTGTAGTGTAAATTAAGTCTTATACAACTATAAACAGCCAAGATCTCCTCTCTTACAGATAAGCCCTTCAAGTAACTGAAATGTATAGTTCAATGTATACTGTCATGTTTGGGCAAGCAGCCCCCTTAAGCCAGCTGGCATGTTAATTAAAGTGCGCTCAATTCAGCAGTCGCCACTTTCTTGTGTGTGACAGAAAAAAAACAGAGTTGACTTCCTGGTGAAAGCTGACATTAGGAAACCAGGACGGCGCCTCGGGGCAATCAGTGAGATTCCAGCACCTGACCCACCTTCTGGAACAGCGCGTTATCAGAGGAAATGAAAATGTTGGGCTTGAGGGCCACATCCCAACAGGTCATCCTGGACCACCGCAATGATTCTTTGAGGGTATATTTTGAAGATGCACGGCGGGCTCGTATAAGGTTGAAAATTGAAGTCGTGGAAGTGAAATACAATTTTACTGGGGAAGCCTTAAACACCACCATTTTTGATGTAATACGCAAGTGCACAGTGAATTTTTGGAGACAAACAGGGCTTGACAAACATTACGAACGTTTTCAAAAACTTCCACCTTTCGGCATGCTTTGAAAACATCTTTTTCATCACTGACATATAGCCAAAATATTTAAATGACACATTTTATGAACTTTCTCTCATTTCAAATTTGGGAGGAATCGTAAGAATTGTTGTCTGTCCTGATTTTGATGTCAATGAGGGATGCCGCTAGGATTGGCTGGCAAAAGATTACTTGCATCCCACAACAGCGCATAAAGGCGCAAACTCCCCCGAACACCCAATTCTACCTGTGCAAAGCTTAGCAAAATATCAAAACAAAGAAAACTCCACCCATGCGCACAGTTAGCGGGCGCTTTGCGCTAAACTTGCGCTCGGCATGAAATTAAGGCCCGGATGTTGTGGCTAACTCCACTCAAGTATGGCTAGGAGATTTTCTTAAACTCTTTAGCCACACTAGGGAAGTGGATTCATGACCCAGTGCCAACCATGATTTTATTGCGCGCCAAAATTAGCTCAACACAACACTCAGCTTTGAACATTCTCGTTTGTATTGACGCTATGCTAACACTACCAGTGTCCCGGCTGGTCCACCAACAGACCATTGAAGGTGATGTTCTGGTTGCTTTTGCAAAGACAGAAATTCTCTCATCCTAATGACAAGCCAGTAAAGCATCAACACAATTCACACACACAATGGATCTGCTACCTTGAGGTACATTTATTCCTTTGCTGTGTTGAGAAATGAACAGCAACCGTGTATTTGACACCTTCAGCTCCTCTATGGTTGTCATTCGGGGGGGAATAAGAAAAAAAGCTATTGATTGAACATGAGTATTGTACTTGCATATAAAATCATAAAAGGGGAGTCAACTCTCAAAGGAAATCAACAACCCCCAGCACAGGAAGCAGGCCTCTCCACTCCCAGACTGCTATATCTAATCACCATTGATTACAAATCACAACAGTGCTTCTCTGGCAAACATGCAAGCAGTCACAGCTGGTGCTTGTAACAGCGCGCAAGAACCCATTTGAGCCAATAGCGTCATTCTAGTGGACTCCAATGATACGCCAAAGCCGGCCGGTCAATGGCGACACAGTGAAACATTGTGCGTTTATGGCGCAGTCGCTGCTCAGGTGTCACGGGGTGAGTAACAGAAAGAGGCGCAGGGTAAGCGAGCACTATTTGAGATGATCCGGAGGGAAGTTAACCACGGGAGAACATCTGTCCATGAAAATTCTTGACATTTTGCTTTTTTTTTTTTTTATTTTATTTTTTTAAATTGGGGTGCATGTAACGCACATCACAGATCCTGCAGCTGCGAATGCACATTTGTAACTTCGAGCCGGTTGCACTGCACGTGCTAGCGAAAAAACATAGCAGACAACATAGTGTATATAAATATAAGTATATAAATACACACTGTACTTAGATGCGTCAATGTGTGTGGGCCATCAGCAGCAATGCCAGCTCAAAGTGAGTCGTGTTGTAAAAGCTGCACCGCAAAGTTTTGGAGCGCACAATTAAACCCCCCGGTCCCCAAAAGAAAAGACAGTGTGAGAAATACACACTTTAGCACAGCCAGTGTGTTTGTGTAAACATGGGCACACAGTAGTGGCTGCAAGGCGGTGCTGAGCGACAGAATGAGGAACGATTCCAAAACATCTGTGAGTGTGGAAGTGTGTGTGCATGCGTGAGTGCGTGTGCATACGCATGCTGCCGTTGTGTTCAAGTGCCTGATGGGAGAATCGGCCAAACCAAAACGACTTGGCATCATTTGTCCGTGCGAAGGAACGACACCAGAGTTGGACTTGAATGCTTGCGAAGAAATGGTGTGTTGAATTTACTCCGTTTCGCTTTGTCAAGTGGTTGCACAAAAGATAATCTTATCTCCAGATCATTTTTAAGTGAATGTATTGTGTACTTTCAAAAATATAAATCAGTATCCAAGATGATATGATTTCGTGCAACCGATTGGGTAAATTCAACAAAATCTTGTATCAGTGTATGAACCAGCATATTGTATATTTTCAAGGGTCACAGCTGCATTTTAATATAAGAAAATCGAAAAGTTTATCATTACATTATCTTCAAATGTATTCGGTATCTTAGCATGTTTCAAATCGAGTCAATTCAAAGGAGTTGCAGATGAATTTGATGCACCAACTTAATACGCACTGCAACACAAACGAGATGGAAGGAAATGGTTCACAAATTGGCTGCAATTGTGTTTTTCGACCTTATTTTCTTCTCCCACCTTCAACCATCGTGGTCAGCTTAAATCACGACGCTGAATAACGTCACCTGTCACGCGCACGCGTTTCTTGAAGGCCTCATGACTCACAATGCTTCAGTAATGAGCTCCGAAATAAATGAATATGACGGAGCGAGAGGGCGGAAGGCACAACGGTGAGGCGTTCACTCGAAAAGGATATCCTCTACACCTCTTTTATGGAACACGCTGAACTTCCTTGATTTCCTTCACACTGGGATCGTGACTGTTTATGAGAGGCTTATATGGACTGTGCCACCATATTAGAAACAACGACCTTCCTTATCATGCAATATAGGTCTCATGAGTAACCATCCATTCATCTGTGAATTACCCGTTTTGAAAATACATTTGAGACTATAAAGTGAACATTTTGCAAGTGTTTTACAAAGCAACCAGTGCCGCAAAAAAAGTAATCGCCTCTGAAACTGCAGGGGCGTTGTCATGGCAACAGGTGCAAACAGTGGAGTAGCCAGAGCAGCACAAAGGTTGAAATTTCAGGAAGGAGCCCAGCCCGAGTGAAACGTATCATAGGAAGTAACGCCTGGACAGAAATGTACGCTCCCCCCCCCCACAAAAAAAAGGCAAAATATGAATCAACCACAAGGAACATTTCAGAGCAATAAATGACGGGGAATACTACAACACTGACACCATGTGGATGTTTTGCACACACATGGCATACTGTACATGAGTTCTTGTCTGGGCCAGTGAATTGAAATGTTCTCATGGATTAAAAGGCAATTTGTGCGGCGTCACTCATCTTGACGTCCAGATTTAATCAGGCTCAAATAGATTCGCTCTCACTGAAGTCGAGCCGCC